AAAACTCACATGTAAACAAATCATGCACAGTCTCAAGTACGCTGAACTCGGACAAGTAAACAACTTGCTTTGCAACCTTTGACCTACTTTATAGTTGATTGACCTGGCGGCCACCTTAGCTAGGTACATTCATATGTACATGGGTCATGACACACTTAAACAGGTCATCTACCTATACCAGGAAATAAACGACCCGTTATATAGGTCATGACACACTAACAGGTCATCTACCTATACCAGGAAATAAGAAAGTGAAAGTGGGGCGTGCGGTATGGGCTGATTTTTTCCCAGCACAAAGGCACCCAATACCTACTAACGTTAATATTTCTTACTACTGCTCATTCCCCGGAATCAGATTTAGTCAAGATTTTCATATCGGTTTATACCGATCCACGGAAAGCACGATTTGTTGTGAAAAATTGCTGCCCAGAATAGATAAATGCATTTCCACCTGCAATTGTAATTATTTATGGATTTTAAATTTTGTGTTCAACAAATACATGAAATACTTACGTTTAACTAAATTTCAAATTTAAAAATGCACAGTAATCCACTACAGAAAACAAACAAAAATCCATTGTACTAAACATTGATTTCAATAATGAATGGAATGTGTACAATGAAACTTAGAATGGAGTACAAAACAACTACTTATATGAATTTCACTTTAGAAATTTAATTCATTAGTTTTTCACTTTTGCGAATTGTAGAGCATTAGCAAATTTCATTTCACAAAAAGTGGAATGCAAAATACGGCCATTTACGATGAATTACTGTTTGACGATGAAGACAGTTTTTTTTTGTTTCGAGAAAAATCCATTTGAAAATATACACAATAATGTCAATTGCAGATACATTTATTGTTTAAAATTTAATCTTGATTTCAATTTAATGAATACTTATATTTATTATTTGATATATAAAATGAAGATTTATAATTTATATTAAAAATTTTGTCTTTTGTTCGTATATTTAGCATAAAACAAAGTTATTAATATAATATTTGGTATAAAATAAAAGTGCTTTTCAAAAAATAATATTGGAGTTTATTTAAAAATAAAAATTGCTTAATGAATTGGTAAGATTTGATGTATTTTTTTAAATTTTTATTGTATGTCTAATTAAATAAAATATAATAATATATTGGATTGCGATTATATAAATAGAAATGCCCCGAAAATATAGGGCCGAAGGTTGCATTTCTATAAGAAATAATAGTCTACGAGAAAACGAGAACGTAAATGCTATACTTACGTCTATTTTTCCAAAGAACGAGGTAACAATAACGCATAGCATTTGAAGTACAAAGAACGGACACAAGCATTAGGAAACGGAATTGAACTAATCAATAAAAAGGATCAATTAATTACTTGCTTTTTATTACTTTAATTTTAATAATGTAAATAAACTCCAAAGTCTTTAAAAAAAGAAAATTAATTTTGTGTATGAAATTTTCTGTATGAGTATGTACATACATACTTATATGATGAAATATGTTTTGATATCAAATATTACTAATTTTATTTTTTATGCAAATATGTTATGTAGTTAATAAAAAAGCGAATTCAAATAGTTTTTTTTTCAAAAGCAATTTATTTTATGTATTTACTATTTTTGTTTTACCTGAAAATATAAAAATGTCTGTGGGTCATACGTACGTGCATCTTTTACGTGTGCTAAATATGTGAATGATTTAATACATACACATTTACTAAAATAAAACAAAAAAAGCCAAACAAACAGAAGCAAAAAAAAATTGTTAAAAAATAAGAAAAGAAAGAGAGTGAAAATAAACACAAAAACTAAAAAAGTTATGTTTAGTATTCCAAAATTGATTGATTTTGATAACAGAAAGTTTATCTTGTTGGTACATCTTTGTTTTTAAAATTTTTGATATAAGATAAAATTCTCAAAAAATGTGTTTCGTAACTCCTCCAAAATATTGAAATTTCAAACATATGTAACTACAATACTAGCTTAAGTGCGTCTCAAAAAAATCTAATTTTCGTAGGCACTTATCCGAGTAGAGCTCTTAACCGAACCCCTTTAACAGCGAAAATAAAAGCAATTAATCGCGTTTTCAATAATGTTTAACAAATTGTTTAAAATATTGAAGTAAAGATTAATAACTTAATTGTTAAATTTTTTTTGACATTACGCGTAAATGCACTCTATGAAAATAATTTGTTTTTCAAAAACTTTGGAAAATATTTTTTTTTGTTTGTGTCTGAGACAGAAAAGTGGTTAATTTTAGAAGAAATTGAGAAAAATGTGCTAAAAAATTATTGCATTAAAACGATCGGTGTAGTTACAAAAAATGCAATTAACGAATTTTTGCGACGTCAAATGTAATGGAGAAAGTAATGGTTGTGAAAAAGTTGACGCACTTAAGCTGGAAACGTATTCAACCGAAAAGCAGCTAATCGGATATTTCGCGTTTTTTGATACGAAATTGTAAATCATTTTTGTTTTAAACCCTGAGTTAGCGGATCTGATAGATACATATGGCATTTGAATTTTCTATCAGTTGATAGCTTCAATGCCATATACATTATACCTGTGTTACATATATCAAAGTCTTAAAATTAGAAGCTATAATTTTTTCGTAAGATTTGAACTCTTATTCAGGAGATTACCGTCCCTTAAAATAGTATTTTCCTAGTTTTTCCCGAATGTTTATTGGAAAGGTTTCGGAATATGCACATGTATTTGCCTCTAACGTTTTTTTCTGCTTTATTATGACGTTATTCATATTCTTTTATAAGTTTCATAGTAGAATCGTTCAAGTTTGTACTACAAAGTTTCAATTTTAATCGCTCAGTGGAAAAATAAATTTTGATACCCGTTTTAGTATACAAATTGTGTCTAGTCTATTTTATTTCGGAATATTGAATATAAAAATATACTTAATTTTTATCAAGAAATATGAGCGATATGTGTATAATCAGGCGCGGGCCTGACGTATTCGTCGCCCTAAGCGGTTCCTAAAAAATGCGGCCCCCCTTCAACCGTTTCACCTATTTTATTACTGTGAACAAAATTTAATAGGCATTGCACATTGTGCATCATAAAGCACTTTCTTGTAACCTTATTATGCTGAATGCAGAACTAATTATAGAATTAAAGTCTGGAACTAAACTTTAAATTTTTTGTTTTATAAATTCCAAAACAAGGTAATTTATTCAACTGAATGTTTTTTTATCAAGTTATGATCAGATTTATATCAATCATTTAAACTTGTTTTTTTTAATTTTAACAACCAAAAAATTTACTTTTTGACGTAAGTGAAACTTATTGTAAAAGGTTCTATGAAAATTATATCAAATGAACTTTTTCAAAGCTTATTTGAATATGAAAAAAAGTAAAAATTTATTTTTATTTTTATTTGTAATTTTAAATTTACGAATAACATTTGGCTTTTTATTTCACAAATGCCTGAGAAATGAAGCTGCGTATAAAAAAAGTTTTGTATTCAAAAATTTAAAGAAAATCAAAGCTTCGTTCTAAAATTTGCGACTTAAAAACTAAGCTTTTCATGTACATAGCTATAAGCTTTTATACTGTTCATTATATTTTTCAGATTTTATTAAAATAAATGCATTTACTGGTATTTATAGGCTTGTGGTTTTGAAATTTCAGAATGTCGTTCTGCGTAACTGTTTTAATTTTAGAGAAAAATGTGTGAAACAAATTATGCGCCATTTCATTTTACTCTTATTTTTTGGATGACTTACACTACATCAATTCAACATAAAAATTCTTAACATTCGCTTGATTATTAAACAACATTTTTTCAATTCAACATAAGTAATAAATATTCCCAATTAATGTTTAATTCTGTGATTGATAACAGTTTTAACTCAAAAACGAAAGCAAAACATAGTACTAGTAGAAATTCATAACGATCATGTAATTTTGAAATTCATTCATAATTTTTTGTTGTTAAACAAAAAGAAAACATTGGTATACACAATCTCAACATCAAGCTATGCATTCCTTTATTTAAGAATATTGCTCTCATTCTCTTTTTCTAATTTCTTTCTATTCTCATTCTTAATTTTTGTTTTTTTTTTGTTTTGTTCTTGTTGTTTACTAATGCAATAGTATACAGAAAAAGTAACACATTATAATAATGTGTTTGTTTGTTTGGTGAGTGGGCGACAACTAAGCATAAATAAAATTTTGCATATATGAAACAATTTAAATATAATGTGTCCGAACGAGTGTAGCCAGGGAGATCACTAAACATAATAAAAATTTTGCTTTGTGATATAATTATATGTGTACGAGCGAGTGTTGATAAGGAGCAATATCAGCAAAATAATAATCTTGCTTTATGAGATAATTATATATGTACGCATGAGCGTTGATCTTATTCATATTAAACAATATAAATTATGTGTGCATGTGTATTTTTGAATATTTTTATTCTTTGCGTAACTTGCTTCTATGTATATTATATGAGACGATTTCACTTATGTATATGTAGGATTGAATGTGTACAGCTGTATGAAATAATATTTTCTGTTTATAGGCATAATATACGAATTTGTTCTAGTATGTATGTAAAAGAAAAAAATATTTTTTATCATTGAAAAAAATATTTTGTGTAGTCGTACAATAAATAAAAATAAAGGAGTAGTGTAGAGTAAGAAAATGTATCAATAATTTTTATTCTACGAACATTTCATTGTATGGTGCAAAAGGAAAATATATGAAGATCAATACTTAGTGTTTTGGGTAACTGACCGTTTTTTTCATGCACATTTTTTATATTATTAGGAATAAAATATTATGTTTGTATGTAAGTACATTTTATCAAGTTAATTTCGCTGTAAATTGAATTAAATTTGTATCAATTTTTTTGTTTTTTAAATTTATGGTTTTTTAAAGTTTTTAACGGCGGCCCTGCTTTTCTGTCGCCCACTGCAAATGCATACTTTGCATATATGAAAAATCCGTCCCTGTGTATAATATTTAAACAATCCACTATTTTTTCAGTTATTCTTTATTTAATAAGTTTAAAAATTTCGATCATGTTTCCAGAGTCGGATTATATCCAGAATAAGGTAGTTTAAAGAAATTTACGTCCTTTTTTAATATTGTTTTTATTTCTTTTTGTAGTAAACTGTGCAATGATTCGCCTGTATGTTTATATTTCCATTGGCCTAATTCCGCATTTTTGGATCCAAAAAAATCATATCGTTTGGGGCCACTATTTGGAGAGCTTAACCAAATCTGTTTATTCGGAGTCTGTCTGTTTATCACATATGTTCCAGAAGATCCTAAATTTACTGTGAGAACACCATCCTTTAAAATATATGAAGAAAACATGCAATTAACATATACATATGTACATACTTATTAAGCAAGTGCAGAGCTATAAAAATTCTTAATTGAAATATATATATATATATATATATATATAAATGTATTATTCTTTCTTCACATTACCGAGACAAATTTATTGACATTACAATTTCAAAAGAAAAAGGAAATGCAATTATAAATTTAAGTATGGTGAAGGTTCACAAAAGAACTATAAACACAATAAAGGGCTGCTTCAAATAGAAGTGATGTCATAATTTAGTGATGAACATTTAATTATAATTGAGTGTTGGTTACATAGTGTATTATCCTAGATAAGAATTACAGTGTCTAATCGTTATTCAACGGAAATAAATAAATTTAAGAATTATAAATTCTCTTGATAACCGCTTTCTGAAAATTACAGTATAGTATTTTGAAATTTATGTATATATTATAAAAAATATTTCAATAAATTTTATTTTTTATAAAATTTTTAACAATTTCGGCAATATTCTAAAATAAAAGTGGTAGGTGCCACAATCTGAAAATAGTTACGATTTATTCAACTAACCAATGATTATATGGTATAGAAATTGTATTATTTACAAATCGTTCGGTGATGTGAAATAACCCATTCTTTTTTAAAACCGTTGCAGATACGTGATTTCAAAAGTTAAGTGGAATCTAGTTTTGCCAAACGAAAGTTCTGTTGTGTAAAAAAAATCCACTTCCGAGGTCTGATATATCCCAAAAGTTTATAAATTCGTGACATAACCAAAGAATTCGATATGAAAAGTTTGGCGCCATTACATCACCCCACCTTTTTGTAAGCAATGATATCGTAAAAATTGCAAAAGTTTTTCTACGTTATATAATAGTTAATATTATATAATATTTATATAATATATATTTTAATATTATATAATATTATATAATATTATATATAATATATATTATAATATATATATACTATATATATATATTATTTATAATATATATATATTATTATATATAATAATATACATAATATAATATATATAATATATATATATATATATATAATATAATATATATAATTATATATATATATATATATATATATATATATATATATATATATATATATATATATATATATATATATATATATATATATATATATTATAATAGCATGTCTGTTTTATTATATTTTGTAAACAACATAGTATTTTTATAAAAATTAAATAATAAACACTCTACTGCTAAAAATTATAAGCCACTTTATTAATTGCTTTATTGGCAATAATAATGGGCAATATTTTTATGACATGTGCTTATTATATATTAAAGAAGCTATGCCCGATTTTTTTGTTACGCGGTTTACATTTATTTTACACATGCACTACGCATAGTAAACATGTTTGAACACTGCGAAATACCAAGGGACTTTGAATATTGTACTTTATATATTATTCATCAGACTTATTTGAATATTGTACTTTATATTTTAGTACATTTTTGAAGTCACAGTCATCAGCAAACGAAATTATTAAAAAAACCGCAATTTGTAACAATTTTACAGTTATGTATAGTATGGTTATACTTCATTGTTATAGTTTTGTTTGCTTTGGTATGAAGAACTCATGAAGAAAGTATGCAGATACCATAATAGAATATGCGTTACTCCTAACAAAAACATATGCCGTTTTTTCTTACGTTTAGTAATCGTTAAACATAGCGAAGCACAAAAAACTCCAAACAAAATTATACTTTATATAACAAATGACATACAAAACAGTTTTGATTGTTGCATTTTCTTGTAAATTTCCAAAAAGACACAAATTATAAGACAAAATGAATGACAAAAACAAGGATTTTAATTAAAGTATGTATGTAAAAAAAAGGGTACATCAGAAAAAACAAAAAATCATTCTAAAAAAGATAAATATGTATTAATTTTTATTTAGTTTTAAAATGGAAAAAAAATGTGTAACAAATATGAACAGCAATATTTGTTAAATTTTGCTCGCAGAAAGTTTCTGACCTGAAAAAATCTTGTATATCGAAAAGAATAGAGAAATATTTTATTTGTTTAGATACAGTTATATTTCATAATACTTCTTAATTCCTTCCATACGATATTTTCAGTTTTATGTTATAGCCAGCTCTTGACATGTAGCTACAATTATTGTCAATTCGTTCAACTATTTTGCTTCCTGACTTGGCTTTAATATTAGAATATTTTGTTTCCTTTTGGATTTTAGTTTTTTCTTTTATTTTTGTTTTTTAATTTTAAAAAAAATCTGATGTGGTCAGCACATAACCGACCGCATTGTATATTGTCTAGTTAAGTGAAAGGGTTACAGAATATTATAAAAATGTCTGTTAAATACTTCTTTTCAATTTTTAGGACATTAGTGAACTTATAATTAATATACCTAGAAATATGTAAATTTGGCTCTTACTACAGTTTTGCTTTGTACTACCCGAACTCCCAGAAATGCTCGCCAGTTAACCAGAACTGAAATATTAAATTTCAAGAAATTCCATCAATTTGTTCTGTGATTGATATGATGAAAAATGTAAAATCGGCCCGCAAATCAGTTATCGAGCCCTGATCTTTCCAAAAAAGTTATATGTTCATTGCTTTAATATGAGAAACTCATATATTAAATTTCAATGAAATCGGTTGATTATTTCTCTTTATATACACAAAAGTGTATGTTTGGCCCGTAGTAAACGTCTAGTTGCCGATGCCTGATCTTTCCAAAAAATTTACATGTTCATTGTTTTAATACGGGGAATTCATATATTAAATTTCAATGAAATCGGTTGATTATTTCTCTTTATATACACAAAAATGTATATTTGGCCCGTAGTAAACGCCCAGTTGCTGATGCCTGATTTCTTCCAAAAGTTAGGATTTTTTGCGTATGATCGAGCAAAGCTTATATATGAAATTTCAAGTAAATCGGTTGAATACTTTCTTCAAAATAGTGAAAAATGTAAAATCGGCACGCAAATCCGTTTTCGAGCCCTGATCTTTCCAAAAAAATTATATGTTCATTGTTTTAATACGGGGAATTCATATATTAAATTTCAATGAAATCGGTTGATTATTTCTCTTTATATACACAAAAATGTATATTTGGCCCGTAGTAAACGTCTAGTTGCCGATGCCTGATTTCTTCCAAAACAAACGAATTTTTGCGGACGGTCGAGCTGAGCTTATATATAAAATTTCAAGTAAATCGGTTGAATATTTTCTTCAAAATGTTCAAAAATGTAAAACAGGCCCGCTAAAAAGTGCAGTTCCCGAGGCCTGATATATACCAAAAGTTGATCGATCCGTGCCATGGTGGAAACAAACTTACATGTAAAATTTCATCAAAATCGGTTCAGCCGAACTTGAGATACACGCGTGCACACACAGAGCGACAGACGGACAGACCGACAGGTTGCTAAAAATAGTTTATTTACACTTCCCTACTATGGAGAAGTACGTTGCCACCGAAAACTCGATATGCAAAATTTGTTGCCATCACATAACCTACCTATTGTTTACACAATACGGTCGGTAAATATAATTTCTTCAAGAAATAATACTTATAAATAACACTAACGAATGCTTCGATGTTTATTTCTGTAAGAAAATATTATTTTACTGTGACTTATCATTGAAACAGGAATATTTACAATTCTTTGGAACTGATTACTACTTTAAAAAAATAAAAATTATTTTATTTTTAAAAAAATTATTCATATTTTTTATATAGAGTTTGGAACAAAAGATTGCTGATAAAACTCAGATAAAAAGAAATATGTATAAAAAAAATTTAACTGGCATTTGCCATCGATTTCGAGATGGTAAATTTTAAGCAAGTAAAAAACTGCTTATAATATAGACATTTTAAAGATTAAATTCATACATTATGTAAAAAAAGATCTTAAAAAAGTAAAAGTGGAATAGGCCGTATTACCCACGTGCCGTTAATATTTTTCAGTTGTCTACTTTTTTTACACTATGTTTTTTTTATTGCCTTCCTTCTTTTATGTCGTTCTCTAATTTATATGGTTTTTCGCTATCACATTCCATAGGGTTCTTGTTCATCGTTATTGTCATTTTCATACTCTAGTCTTATTCGCACAACGGTTACTTATGTTTCACAATATATGGAAATCGAACTAATTTATTAGTATAAATTTATTCGATTTTCAACCTTTTTGATGTTAAATTTAAGTACAAAAGTAAAGTAATGATGCATAAATAAAAGTGGGTTAGCCACCTTAAAAAAACCAAATCGGTTAAAATATGTTTGTTTTTATATAATTTGGCAATGAGAAAATTGATAGTAAATTCAATATTTTTTTTTGCTTTAATAAGACACATTTTTTTCTAATATAACCTTAATATTCCATAATTTAACCTTATTTTTTCCTTCGATTTGAAAAGTTAACCAAATTATTAAAATTTAATTTGATATAACTAGAATATCGAACTAAACGTTTTAACGCAAGGTAATTTTTCATAGGTAAAATTGCTGACCATCGCAACTAATCATTAAACCTTATTCTACTGAACGTGTCAGATTTTTTTGGTATGACGAAATGTGATGTAAGAGAAGAAACAAGACTCGAAAGTTTAGAAAGGTTGGAAAAATATCTTTCAATAAATTACTAAAAGAAAAGAGTATAAATAACAAATAGTAAATTAGAGAAAGATGTATTTGCAGTTTTTTTGCGACTAAATGTACAAACAATATATGAAAATATTCAAAAATGCGTCTAGCAAAATAACATTATGGACGCTTCTCCTGACCAATAGTATAATCTGGATATAAGGACCCCAACAGATAGTTTGTACAAAGATTATAATATTATGAATATAGACAAACAACATAAAGTGTTACAAGCTAGTCATATATACAAAATAGTAAACAATTTAATCATAACTAATTCAACACTGCGCCAAGGAACTGATATACATCAATACAACACTAGAAATGCCGAAGAATTTAGAA